ACTATAAATGTCTACTTTAGTGGTGTATCGGCTCTGAAACACTTCGGGTGCCATATATTGTGAGGTCCCGACACTTGACGTGTGGCTCATGGATGTCATGCCGTGATCTGTGGCCACACCGAAGTCATCGATCCGTAAGAATCGCTTATTCTTAGGGTTTGTAACGATTAAAATGTTTTCGGGTTTTAAGTCCCGGTGAATGACCGGTGGTTTCAATTCGTGGATGTATTGAATGCATTGCAAGAGTTCGCGAAGTATTTCACACGAAATGAAATACTCGTAGAAATTCATTGCTTCCGCCGATTGTCTGCCAAATACTATGGCTTTGTCTTTGATTACAGTCGCGAGTGTTTGACAGCAATACTCCATATGAATGAACACATGTTTCCCTTCAGACAACGAGTTGTAATACTTGACCACAAAATCTGAGTCCAGTTTTGATAATATTTTCACTTTTTTTTTATAATTTTTTGTTTCTTTTCTTCACTAAAGTCTATGAAAATATTTTTCGAAATAATTATTAATAATATTGTTAATAATATGTATTAATATATTAAATAAAAAGTTATTGAATTTACCCCCAAATTGTACTCTTTTAACGGCATATATCTTATCATCCAATCTATGCCTTACTTTAAATACAGTCCCAAAACCACCCGAACCTATGGCTGACATCTCAATGAATTGGGTTTTGAAATTACCATCACTGAAATTACCATGGTCCTCTGCATTATCAGTATTTGTTATATTGGTATTCGGCTGTTGTTGTTGTTTCTGTTCACTTGTTTCATATTTTTAAGAGCTTTTATTATTGTCTTTAAGTAACAATAAAATAACAAATTAATAATTAATTTTAATATGTGTTTAATATGTTTTAAATGCACTCAAATTACCAGTTGTTTGCTCTGAACTTGTTTTGCGATTTCCAACAAATAGTTCCGAAATTCTCGCAAAAATATTTTTATTTTTACCATTACTTGACTTATCACTCATTTCTTTCAAATTAATTGTATTATTAGTTATTTCGCAGTCATTGGCGTAAAAGTCAATAAAATTATTATAATTTGTTTCAATTATTTCGTGTTCTTTTGATATTTTATATATTTTATCGTTTATTAAAACACTAATTAATTTATATTTCCAATCAATCCATGAATTTATTTGTGCTAAATTTTGGAAGTGATGTTCAGATAGTATTCGTTTCGGACTTTTTTCAGTCATTTGTTTATTGTTTTCATAATATTTTCCACAAAAATATAAACCATTTGTTGTCAGAAAATATGTTCTAAAAGAACGACAAATAATTGTTTTCACACTATTTACGTTTGATATCAATCGGGGTTTCAATACTTTCTCATCGGTTATATTGTGTCCCAATTCATGGCATTCATTGTGACCCCAACTGAAGACATGTTCATCAGATGTGATGGCAAACGAAGATTCATTATAACAATAAATGGATTGTATTTTATAATTAATATTGAATTGTATTTCAATCGGTGTATAAATATCTCCACGATTTCCACAACCAATTTGTCCCCAATAGTTGTGACCCCAGCCATAGACCCGACCATCACTTGTGAGGGCCAGAGTGTGATGAGAACCACAATTAATTAGTTGGATTTTTTTATTATTAAAATATGATATAAACTCTGGTTTATAATAAACAGTTTGTATGTCATTATGTGTTATTACATTCCGTGCCAATTGTCCATGGTCATTACATCCAAACCCATATATTATATTCATATCATTCACTGCTAACACAAAATGCAATCCATTGACAAAGTATTGTATGTTTTAATGACATAATTGTGGTATTATTTCTGGTGATAGTATAGGACTGTTGTGTCCAAAACCCAGACATCCAAAGCTGTTACGACCCAAACCATAGACGATATCATCGTTTGTCACAAATAATACATTACCGGTATATTGATATTCAATCTTCCAATTCTCAAAAACATGTATTTTTGTAATATTTTGTCTAATATTTATCGGGATTTTATGACAAACTGTAAACTTGTCTATAAATTCACACATTTTAACAAATATTTAATACAATTACAAAACTATTAAATATATTATAATTTATAACAAAGAAATGAATGGTTTTATTGCTATAATCAGTGAAAACTATTGGAGACAAGGATTTGATAACTAAAGAATTTCATACAATACAGTATTTAATGAACTGGGTGAACTTGGTAAATTTGGCCATTTAGTTCACACAAATCATTATGATTAATATGATTAAAAGTATGGTTAATACATAAATGTTGGTTTAATTTTAAGTGCTTTAAGAGAAATTGTCGTAATTTTCTGTTATTTTAATAGTTTATTGAATATAAACAACTTATTAGCCGTTTTGGGTACGAAATTATTTAGTGCTGTCATCTATATTTAGTTATATGTTTGCTATTTTGTGTGGTTCACACAACTCATTGTGGAATGCATTGAATGCCACATAAATTTAGCTACAAATTGTTCACACAGATCATTAGTTCACACAGTTCGTGTTCACACAAATCATGTTATTTTACCATTATGTCTATGAGAGACTTGTTTGTGTTTTGAGATTTGGTTCATACAAATGCTTAGTTCACACAACTCATGGTTCACCCAGTTCATGAAATACTGTATATGATAATAACTAAAGTATAGTTTAGAGAATATTTCACAATACATGCCATCACTGAAAATTATCTCAAAAGAAAATACAGTGAACATTCCATATAGTGGTCGAGCAGTTGGTGCATATTTTTGAACACTGTATAGAATGTTCACTATATGGAATGTATGTGGAATACTAGTCAAAATAAGTGTATATACTATTAACAATGAAACAATCATTTATTTTGATTGTTTAATGTTTTGGATATAAAAAATTAATATTTGTTTATCAATTTTAATAAAACTTCATAATTTCAAATCATTGCAAGACAAGAAATAGTAGTCTTATACCATAAAACACTATAAAGAGAGTGAAAATAGTCAAATATAACCAAAAATAGCAAAATTTTGGCCACTATAGAGAATTTACACTGTATAGAGAGTCACTATATGGAGCGTAAATAACATTACAAGTATACAGTGGCCGCCAAACTGATGAGTGAAAATAGTCAAATATAACCAAAAATAGCAAAATTTTGGCCACTATAGAGAATTTACACTGTATAGAGAGTCACTATATGGAGCGTAAATAACATTACAAGTATACAGTGGCCGCCAAACTGACAAATTTTGTACACTATATAGAAATAACACTGTATAGAGCATCACTATATGGAACGTCCACTGTATATGCATTTTATTCAACAACATTTATACGACAGTGTGATTAATTACCCTAGGCTCAACATTCACTAAAAAAAGACCTAGTCACATTTTCAGATTATACTAAATACCTATTGTTGGCCATATCGATGGCGAACTCGATCTCCTTCATGTCCCTACCCTTAACCAGAGTGCGAACCTCGCGATTTAGTTTCACCAAATCGGGGTATATTCGATCGGCATTGCCGGCCAACTGGCCCTCTCGTATGCGGTCAGCGAATACCTGGCCGGCGATTTGTCGCATATTGGCCTCTATCTCCCGGTCCCGCTCTGACCACTCAGGCGGCAGCGGTTGCGATGTTTGGCCTAATGGTTGTCCCAATGGATGTCCTAATGGATGCCCCGATGGCTGTCCCGATGGTGTCACAGATGGCGGCAACGATGGCGGCGGGTATGGCCAGGGTTTCAACGGCTCCTCTCTACTGTCCTGGGAAAAGCCAGTGCCCGGTATATTCTGCTGCGATTGGCCAATCAGGTGCCGTTTCGGAGGCGAGTGGGGTGGTGTTGGTGTGTCAAACGGATTTCCCTGTCCCGGCGGGGATGGGATGTCCCGATAAGTAGGGTTGATTGACATTTGCTGAACGGGGTAACTATTGGGACCCATATTGAGTTGAGCTGCTGTGCTCTCAACTGTGAACACGTTTTGAGGCACATCTTGGGGTATGGTCTCAATGGACCGGCCGTTGAGCGCCATATTGGCCGGCAATCCGGGGGGCAATCCGTTGATCCTTAGGGGCTGTTTCTGTAGACTATTGTTGTTGTTGTGTTGGTCTGGCATTTGTTGGTTCGCGTAGACGTTAACTGCGCTTTTCTGTCGATTATAATTTTGTTAAAAGTTAATTAAATTATTTGTTTAATAAATAGTAATAAATTTTATCATGTTTTTTGTGTGATATACCGGACGTCGGCGCGATTTAAACCGCATATACGACCCGACCATCGATACGCCCACACCTAATATGACTGTCAGTATAAAGCCATAGCCCGCGCCGTTTATAGAGTACGATCCGGCTTTTATTAATGTGCCCAACCATCCGTCCACCTGTGCTCCCTATTTTGTAATTGATATTGGTCAAATAAGTATATTATTAAAGCTCTCTCTCTCTCTCTCTCTCTCTCTATACAGTGTAAATTCTCTATAGTGGCCAAAATTTTGCTATTTTTGGTTATATTTGACTATTTTCACTCTCTTTATAGTGTTTTATGGTATAAGACTACTATNTCTCTCTCTCTCTCTCTCTCTCTCTCTCTAATAAAAATATTTAATAGCAAACTGTAACGAAACAATTGCTATGAAATTGTTTGCATAAATAATTTTTACTGAAAAATGTTTTCATAAATTTAAGATTAGATTTAAGTTTAAATTATAAGAATGTGTAAAATGTATTGCAATACAAAAGGGCTATCAATGAGAGTGTGTATCAAAAATATGAGCTCAAAGAGTGTGTATTAAAAGGACTATAAACATAAAGTACCATGGTACAAAAATAGCGCTGTAAAAATGGTTAACCAATTAAATACGATCATGATCAAGTGTATGATAGCCCAAAAAGTCCTTTTGTCATTTTACATTTATTATAACTGCCTTTTTGCTCACTCACTCTCAAACATACACCATAATTAAAAGCAATACAATAATTACCTCGTCAATCCATAGATAAGGCAACAAGGTGGGTTTAAAGCCGTTGAGACCGGGCACAAAATTAAATGGCCGGAGCTTAAGGTTAATTTGAAAACGACCGCTGCCTTTAAGAGTTATGCCCAATGTCTGTATAGATAGCCACAAATAAATACCATATTATTTTTAAATAACTATTAATAAGCTAGATTAAAATATGCACTTTAATAATATTAATAATTGACAATAAATACCGGTTCAATATCAAAATAACCCAGATGCTTTGACCGATCGGGTGCCAGCCCTTGAACACTGGTGAGGAATCGTGGTGAATTGAGAAAGTGCGGGTATGTCATGGCAAAGGGGACGCCAGACAAACACTGGGACAGGTCTAGCACTCCGTGACAGCGATGACTGGCCACACCTTTGGGGCAAAAGCACCAGTTGTCCGGACTGGACGCCGGCCCGTCAAACAGGTTGTCCGGGAACTCGTAGTGATAGGCGGACACACCGTTTTGGGTCGTGTCTCTGGTAAATGAGTTTTAACATAATATTATTTTTTAATTTAAATGTAATTTAAGTTTTTAATATAGCCTAGTTGATTGTATTTAATGTTTACCCCGAGTATTCCAATCGAAATGACCGGCACGCGTGAAGGTTAAACAGATAGAGCGGCCGTTTGTTGTCCACAAATGTACCAAAAAAGGCGCCGTCCGTACCGTTGAGGGCATCGCACGACCCGTGTCGGTATATACCGAGACGACTGACCACACAATAAGGGGTGGTTGTGGAAAATAATATGATTATTAGTTTATTTTTATTTTAAGATTTATTTTTTATGTTGAAAACAATTAAATTAATTGATTTTTAATATCAATAATTAGCGCTAATTAACTGCTTATTAAATGAAATAAATAAAAACTTATATTATTTTAAAAAATTAATTTTAAGTAAAAGTAAAAATAAAATAAAAATCTAACGACAAACAAAATATTTATTAGCTTGTTTACATACGGAATTATTATAGCATATTATTTTACTTTAACGGAATATGTTTTTCTAAATAATAATAATAATTAATTATCTCAATAATAATTTATAACTGTATTTTATTCCTACCATGCTCTGTATTAATTTACTTAAATTTACTAATCAATGTTATAGAGTAATTAGTAACAGGATGCTATTCTAGTTAAAATAACATGATAATTGCATATAATGACAAACCTTTTATCATGATAAGTGGCGATCCTATCAAAGTCTTGTCGGTCACCCTCACCGGTCAACGTCTCAAAGGGACCGAACCTACTATTATTCCTAATGGCCAGAAACCCGTAGGTATTGTCCCGCAGCTTATAGGCAGAGATGCCGTACTCGGGTATAGGCAGGCCTATCATCCTCAGGGGTTTGGCCACTATGTCTATGGTGTCCAACAGCGATATGCGGCGCCCGTTCAGCACTTCGCCCACAGTTCGGGTCTCTATAAACCGTTCCCTATGTGTAACCAGCAATGTGTTGACCACGTTGTTCACGATGGGCGACACCACGGCTGTCAATGGGAACTTCTCCACAGCCGAGTTTATTATGGAGAATATCAGCTAAATATAAGTTTAGAATTTTAGACCAAGGTTAATTATGTTAATTAGTTTGGTAATTTCATATTGATGTCCTTTTTAGTAGATTTTATACTATTTATTAATGTGCTTTTTATTAGCATAACCTTAATTGCTATTAATGTAATTTTAATTAACGATTATTGTTATTTTGTATTAGATTGTTTTACTGGTAGTCATACAATATGTTTCTACGAACAAGTCAAGTAATTTTGTGATATAACCTTGATCATAATCAATTTATTGCATGCTAATTGCTAGTTCACTAGCATGGATTCTTGTATACAAACTGCTTATAATGTTATTCAATCATTATGGTGACTAAAATCTCAATGACTCACATTGAATAGCAATTGTACTTATTTATAATTTGTATATACCTAAACACCCTTGCACAAATTACCGAGTAATATGATCATCATCCCTATATTTTCGATCAATTTTCAATGACAGGTATAATTTTAAGTAGAGATAAATTGATAATTAATTGCTGTTATAGAGTATTGCCATTCAGTAAGTAAAACATCGAGCTATAAATCAATTGACAATTTAATATATTTTTATATAATTTTCATAAAAATAAAATAAATTGAAACTAGTTTTTTTTCTCATTTTATAATATTAACGATTTTTAATGCATAGATTTTAATATATTTTTGTATACATTAATAAATCATAAACATTGTATGATCTAGTATAAATAAGTTATATTTTTGCATTGCATTTATTAATACACTACTACACTAGCTAATTAAAGTGTGTATATAATAAATATATTTTAAGAAAGTTCAATTTGGTAGCCGATCATGATAAGTAGTAAACAAACAATAAGATTTACCAGTAGAGGTACATTGACCAGAGTGATTTTATCATCAAGGTTGCCGTTGCTAAGCTCAGGGTCGAATACAAACTTCATTGTTTCGTAGTATTTCACCCTCTCGGAATTGGCGGACCTATTATTTAAAGTATTTTATTAATGTAAATTTATTTTAATATTTATAAATTATAATAATTATTTTATTAAAACTTACCATTCAACAATTTCTCTGGTCTTATATTCCCTATTAAAACGTATTAAACAAAAATCAATAATAAAATCTATACAAAAGCATATCATATAAATATTTAACTTACTTACTCTCTTTATAATTAAATATTAATTATACAATTAAAATAAATTCTAGATAATAGATAAATAAAATATTGATCAAGTTACTTACTTATAAACATAGGGACCCATCTCTCTGACCACAGGGACGGCACCGTTGCTAAAAGCCTCGGGGTTTTGTATGTCAAACAGGTATACTTTGGTTATCAAAGGGATTGGCAATTCTTGCCTAAATTATTTAATTAAGCACAATAAATATGGTTAATTTTAACATCAGGATTATCTATGTTCACCAAAATCTAGGAAAATGTTATAGAAACAAACCCAACACAATAGAAATGTCACGCAAAATAATATTGTTAACTCTTTGAATGTCAGTAAAATAATAGCAATAAATACAATAAAAGCAAAAATAAAAATAAAAACAAAAAACAATTCTAATATTAATGTTAACGAAACCAATGGATACACAAAAATTTCAAACAAATTATATAACGAGTAATAAATTCACACAAATATAAATACTACTGTATGTTAATTCAATAGGGATTTAATAATTAAATTTATTACCAGTTTTTGAATATAAACTTTCCTTCTGTGAGCTTAAAATTCATATCCAGTCCTAAAAACGCATTATATTTCAAATAAAAAATAATAAAAATATAACATTAACCCAAAAATTTAAACTAGATCAAAAAACAAACCATACTAACCTACACCCAAAAGCGTGGGAAACATTGTGGCCAATAGCGCACCGGTAACTATGAGTCCAACACCGGTGACCAACACAAACTCCGGCCGGCGTTTACCGGAAAACTCTTTCACTTTACTAATCAAACGCTGCATTGCTTTCAACCGGCGATACGTTTTGAACAATTCAACTAAATAACACCACAACCGGACGGCCAGCACCGGGTTAGGCATCACACAGAGTACATGGTATGTGTGTTTACTGTAGGGTTAGCCCCCTTTTCACACACACCGCCCGAAGGGATAGGGAGACGATAGACAATAGGACTAGTAGTTAGCGAGTGAGAGAGTAAACGGTATATGTGTTTATAAACACAGGCGACAGATAATTATGGTGAAAAATTCTTGGAAAAATAATTATCATGTGTTATTTCACTCCCTATTTTACAAAATATCTTTCCTATTTATTATCTATAACTACTATTACAGATATTACTACATAGATGGTTGAGTATATGTATTTTGTATATACAAATACAGTACACTATATAAAGTATTCTGTGTATCGATAACTAGTCGTATAGTTTTGCTAATGTTTTGAATGTCAAGATCGCAGTAGTCTTGAAAATATACA